GTCTCGGAGGTCCAAGCAAGTCCCAGGAACTCTGAAGAAAGCAGGCATGAAGAAATCTGGAAGGGATTAAAAAAGTACATCTGTGTATTGTCACTCAGCAGTATTAGGGCCTATCTCACACCAGATACTGAGGCCAACTGCACGGGAATGACGTGCTGGTGTGATTGTGTTTGGGCTGGCAAAAGCTAGCCAGCCTTGACAGGAGCAGCCACAGAAACAACCAGCAGGGTTGGGTCCTGCTGCACAGGATGCCTGTGGCAGGGCAGCCTAGCACTCCTGCCAGCCAGAGGTGAAGGAGCCAGAGCGTGTCACCACCAGAGTTATTGAGCCAGCACAGCCTGGTCCCTAGGGGCGAGTCTGCTTCCACTGGTGACCCAGGAGTGCTCAGTCACCGGACATCTGTCAGGAGCTGGGAAGGATGGGGGGCTGGATACACGTGGAACAATTTGAAGCATCTAGAATGCTGCTCTGGGTTCTTAGAAGACAAAACACCACTGCTAAAGTCAGTGTTGGGTCCATATGTAACCTAGCTTTGGAAGAAATCCCAGCAGTTGTGTTGGTCAATCATTTCTTCAGGGCTTTGAGGTTTTGTTTTCTTACTATAACTTTGATTTGCCCTAACTTCATATGGACAACAAAATCTGTTAAGTGTCACATCTTGCTACCTACTTATGTGGTGGAGAGTCAGAAAAACAGCGCCATACAAACTTTGAGGATAGAAAAGGTTGCTTTTTAAATGAAACTGCTTTGATGGTCTGATTATTATACACTTTACTTGATTTTGGTATTTCCCTCCTTGAAACCTGAATGCATGCTTTGAAATAATAGTGGAGATTCTGTCTTTTAAAATACCTGCTCTGAACTTTATTGACAACACAAATTCCCCAGTCTCAGTTGAGTTCAGACTTTGGCAGTAGCTTTTCAATCACACTGGCAACTGCAGGAGCAGAACGGCATCCTGAAAATTAAAATCTCTGTAAGGCATTCCTTATCCTCCATAACTTAAGGGAAAAGGCTGTAAACACTGCATCCTAAACTCTTTGTTATGCTGGCTCAGAAAATGTGGGCTGTGAAACCATTAATTTTCTTCTGTGGCACTGAGGACTAAATTTTACTCTGACACTGGAAAAATGGTGCAACTCTGGATTTACATGAGTGAGGTTATGTTCTGTCTGGACCCTTTGTAGTTGAATAAAGTGGGGAAGATGCGGGAAGAATTACTTTTGAGTGGAAGGGGATCAGCGTACCTTAATTCTGAAATGTGAGCTGAGATTAAAAGGTACAGTGATCAATTCCTAATACTGCAGGATAATCCAAGAAGAAGAGATGTCCTCCTCATTTCTGTACTACAGAGAAAAGAAACAAATAAAGGCAGCTTTCAAGAACACTTCTTTTTACCTAAACTTTACCAATTCCTTAAACAAAAAAAAAACCAAACACAAGTATGGTGAGTTGATAAATACAAAGCAAAATTCTTTGGAAAAGAGGAAAGAACCAGAGTTATTGACACTGTTTTGTAGCTTCTGGATTTACTCAGATTGAGGTTCCTGGAACACTTATGTTATGGAATTTCAGCAATCAAGTAATATCATCACAATGACGTGGCATGACAGGCCTCTTATCACACACAAGCTATGTGTGTTTTCTGCTTATCATGTGTCTCACAATAGATGCTGGCACAGGGATGCCAGGTTCTTTGTCCCTAGGAGTAAAGAAATATTAATTCCACAAAAGGCCTTACATGAACCCTACGAGTCAGTCAAGACTGGTTTTCCAGGGAGTAGCTGCTGCTAGTTTTGACTTGTTTGGGTTTTGTTTTTAATTCATATTCCTGTTCCAACATGACTTGCAGAAGTTGCCTAGAAACCATCTCGCGTCAGCTCACTCATCCAGGACACACAGCTCCCCATATGCAGGCAAAGAGATAAGCCTAACTTCCTTAATTTTTAAAGAAATGCAATTAACTCCCCTCTTCCTCCTCCCATGGATGTGATATCTGAGAACTTGCTTTAAAAACACCCCAACATCACTGAGGTAGAAAAGTCTGGCAGATGTTACATGGGGAAGTGTGAATGGAGGAGGTTGTCTTGAGGTGGTGGCAGAGTCAGAGCCACATTTGTCCCCAATAGAAGGTCCAGCAGGCTTGTAGGGGACCTTTCACTGCGCCTGGTGCCACAAAACAGCCACAGACTTGACACTTTTGCCTCCTGGCATGTAAAAATGCCAGTTATTTCCACTGCTCTGCATTGTGTCCAAAATATCCTCTTGGCTCTCCCTATATCCTATAGTACTTGTGACCTAGTCCTCTTGTGAAGCCAGTACATGTTAGGAGGCCTGCAGATTAATGGAATTTCTTGTGTTCTTCCAGGATAAAATACTTTACATGTGATAAATCCAGAGTAGCTGATAGCACTAAGCACAAATCTGGTGGTGAAAACATCCTGTGCAAATAGAGCTTGGAAAAAAAAGGGCTTGTCTGGGCACCAGCTGGACTAAAAGAATTTGGATCTTGAATCAAATTCCTAAGGTTTTATTAAGCTCTCTGGGAAAATACAAAACCAGAAAAATCATTTTGGGTTGACCTGTAGCACTTTATTTGGAAAATATTTATTTTGGGGTGCCTAGCCTTTTTGCTTGTAACTTGGGATGCTTTTCAAATGAAAAATGCCATCTCAGAAAGACGTGTTGAAAGGAATTAAATACTTCTTAAGATGAAAATTAATGTTTCAACACTGGGAAAAAAGCCCCAAAAAGCAGCTCCCTTTGTGGGACTTGAAACAATTAAATTTGGATTGAATTTCCTAATGCCTCTTGTCTTCCCAATACTGCACTTTCTGGCAAGATTTGCTATGACTTGGATGTGTTTAATGTGTATGCAGGTAGAAGTAGAGGTTTCAAGGACAAGTGTGAGCCCCTGCAAAATAGGAGGACCTGTGTTGCAACTTCCAAATGCAATTCGCTGCCAATTTTAACCTGTACCCCCTCACTCTTTCCTCTCTCTCTTACTGCCTCTCTCCTGCTGCTCCTGCTTTTTTGATGGAGTGTTCTAACCTGTTCCCCATGCAATGAGCTTTCCCACCAGCACTTCCTGGGGCTGATGGATGTGCCTTGTGCTCTCACACCATTCAGCTCCAGGGGCCACACCAGGATGTGGTTTGTATACAGGAAGCTGGTACAGCAAAAAACTAAAATTGTGCTGCGCTTGTGGTGTCATCGGAATGGGCAGGGATGGAGGCCTGAGCTCCCAAGGATCAGAGCTTGCCATACCTGGGGGAAAGAAGGGGAGAGCCCCTCACTGCAGTGCAGGCAGGACCTTCCAAGTTGACAGAAGCTGGACAAAGTAGCAAATGGTTAAAAAAGTGTAAATGGCTATTGACCAACTGAGGGGCCTTCAGGTTTTAAGCCAGCTTCTGTGCTTGCCAGGTAGTAGTCTGGATCTATTAGCACCAGGATGGCAGGCAAAGCTTTCATTTAGAGATGGTGGCTGAGATGGCATGGTTGAGGATTCTGAAAGCCTTGGCAGCTTGAGTGGTCTGGAGCAGTAAGGGTGAGTTGGAAAGGCAAGTCCTTGCTTGTGGTGTGGATTGTTTATCTGAGTTCTGATCCTATTTCCCCAAGCATTTTATCAGGTGTCAGGGTCAGGAGGAATGGGGACTTAGATAGCTTTAATTGTTAGATCTTAGTTTTTATCTGTGACTCAGAAACTATGAGTAGGTTTTGATCACTGCAGGGTAACAATGTTCACTTGGTTCTCCGGGTGCACCCAAAATGCAAAAGATGGGCTCTCATCAGTTCCAGAGCTCGTGGGCAGCCCTTCATGAGGATGGTAGAGAAAGTCTTTCTGGATGAATGCTTTAGGAAGCACATTGTACTGGATTCTGAAATGTAAGGGGGGTCATCTGCGTATAGCTTCCTCTCCTCTGAGAGTGATAATGAGATATATGAGTACATGACAGAGGCCTTTGAGCTTTCATTTTCTACTGATTGTTCCCACCTTTCACAGGGTAACGTGAGCTCTGGAGAGACATGGGATTTACAAGCATGGTAGAGGTCAGGCAGCAAGACATTGCTGTTTGGAGGAGGGATGCTATATCTCCTTACAGATTTAAATGCACACACTGCTCCTGGAAAGCCATTATGTAAGTCTTGAATACTGAAATAAGGAAATAATTATAATAAAGCAAACAGTTTCCTGGGAATTAAGGTGCATTGTGGACCTTTATCTGAAATTGTGCAGAATATCATAATTCTGATGATCCAACTGAAGACGTCTTCTAATTGCAGTGCCAATGGCACTGCTACCACTGAATAAAAGCTCAGCTCCTCTGAGCTCAAGGAATACACAGTCCTTTAAGGTGGAGTGTTTATTTCAGCAATTCAAGGCTGAAAAGCATTCTAGGGAACATTTGAAAGAAATCTTTGTGTGCTGCTGCAAAAATGATACAGATTAAACCAATTGAAAAAAAATTCCTAACTTTGCCCTGCAAAAGAAATTTAAATTTTTAAGTAAAAAAACTGATCTGGAGCAGTAAGTGATCAACCCTCTTGTATGGTTGTGTGGTTCCAACGTGGTGTCATGTTCTCCCTCTATTACGGCTGGAGAAAACTTTGGAAGCTCATTTAGACTAGGTGCAAGTGGAGCACGTTACCATCCACTGTTGCCAAGGCAGCATTGCTGCTGGTAGCTGGGCACAAACTCTCAGGCAGCTGTGGAAATGACTGATCAGATGGGTGGACCCTGCCAGTAATCTATAACCTTATATAGATTTATGTACACCTTTATAAATCATTACCATCTTATCTTAGTTACAGGCTGATGTCTTCAGTCTGGGAACACAAGGATTTCCCTTTTAACTGTATAGGAATGTTGAATAGAGGATTGCAGAAGGTTAAGCATCATAGAGACCAAGACTTTATTTTTAACACAAAGCATTGTTGTAAATCTCCTGAAAATTCACTTGACACTCGACGTGCCGCAGGTTTTCGGAGGTGTGAGCGCATTAATCACAGGTAAGGAGATGGAGTTGCACTTTACAGCAGAAGGAGGGAACTGGTATCTGAAGATCAAAGCGTGGCTCGTGCTTCCCCAGCACAAACAGCAGTCCCTTATCTGTCCTTATATGAGAAGTATAAATTAATCAAGTTTACAAGGCAGAGTTGAACCCTGATTGAACAAGTTTGCCTTGACAAGAGCCAATAAATGGAAGAGCCACAAAACTAGATGGGAAGCTAATTTCAGTCCATGGAATTTGTCACTCTGCTTTTTGAGAAGGAAAATGCATTATATTCCAGAAATGTAGCAAACATGTGCTGTTTTGGTTTTACAGTGCTGTGGTATATTTGTATATCCAAACCAGGCCTTTGCTACCAAATCTCTGAATGCTGGGGCTATTCGGTCATGCTGTTATATTTTCTAAATAAGCAATCAGCTAATTAAATTCTTTGGTAAAAATTCACATGTCTTTTGCTGTGTCTCACAGCTTCCCCTACAGCAGCAGTTAAAAGCTGTAGTTGCTTTATTCTCCTGTTTTGTTTGCATGGAGCACTCTAGTTACTATCAAAGGAGCAAAGTTCAGAGAGATCACAGTGCAAAACTCAAGAGCTAAAAATAAAGAACAGGTTAAATGCTCAACACAAAATTGGGCACAATAACCACTGAAGTCAAATGCAGCTCAGCTCCAGCTCTTGCCTACGTCTGCCTGCAGGAACTCTTGTATCAGGCTTAGTGGCCATAAATTGTATGGTCAAATTTGAATTTAATAAACCTTCAGGAATATGTTTCACAAAACTTTGACTAAACACATCCTCCCATGCTGTTTCGGCAGCTGTTTCCTGTGTTTCCCAACCCTACAAAAGCACCCTGAGTAAGGTGTCTGGCTGCTCGGACTCAGCAACTTAGCCATAAATCCCTAGCTGTCATTCCTGTGCTGAAAGCTGTCATGGGGCTGCTGGAGGAAAAATTATCCCCAGCTTCAGCTGTGCCTTCAGTCTCAACATATTCTCCTTACCTGGCATGCTGTGGAAGTGAGAGGGTATTCTGGAGTGTTCACTGATGCTCCATCTGGGAATCATGATAAATAGAAAATATTTGACAACTGAAACTCAGCTTACAGCCCCTAAGTGCACCAGAGCAGCTCAGCACCTGCAGCCTCAGAAGCTGGGCTGGAAGATAAGTCAATCTTTTCATACACTATGTAAGGCTGTTAGCAGCCTCCTCATTAGGGGAGGTAGTTTAGGTAGTGAAATAAAAGCCGGGAATCCAGGCTCTAACGAACAGTGCCACAGATCCGTGGATGGGATAAACTGGGGTGGATAAATTGTAGCTACAGCATCTGGGAGCAGAGGAGGAAATAACAAATGTGCGGCCGTGGACTGAAGTGAGGTCTGCACTTAGATGAAACATATTCCTTAGCAATATCAGGGCTGCTGTTGTGGACTCTAAATGGGTTCCTGTGATGAGCCCGATCTTTGATGGTATTGGATTAATATCACTGCTCATTCCAGCTTATTATGTGTCCTGCAGTACCTGTCATGTCTCTCTGCCATCTACTGCAAGTAATGACTCCAGCAATTATGAAGGCTTTGTACGCCTGCAGATCAGAAATACTGTCTCACAAAGGGCAGACTTTCCTCATCTCAGCACTGCAGATTCTTCCTCCACAGAGTGATTTGGCCCTTTTCGTCCCCCTTTTCCTCTGCACCCGCTAGTTTGTGAAACAGCAGAAGCTTTACAGAAAAGGAAAAAAAAAAGGAGAGACAGCTTCAACTCCTATACTTCCCATTTTTCTACCCAACCCTCCTCTTTCTCTCTGGAGACAGAAGAGTTTGGTATCAAACATGCGAGTTCTGCTTCACCCAGGGTCTGATCAAAAATGCACTAAAATCAATGGAAAAATTCCTGTGGATTTTGCTGTTCTCTAGATTATTTCCAGCCCCCCTCTGGCTACAGCCCTTTGACTGTACGGGCATGCAGGGCGGCTGTGGGAGCTCAGAGGGGAGGATTTTCAGCAAAGCAGCCCACAAAAGGGAGTCTCGTATCCCTTTGCAAAGCATGAGGCTCTTGAGGTTTCCACTTGCTCCAAATCTGCAATTCATCTGCTTTCCCTTGCTCTACTCACACTGTAACCCACCACCAGCCAGGCACTGTACTGAGTGCAAGGCAGTTGAGAAAAAGTTTTTTTGCTGCTGTTTTTTTCTCTCATCTTTGGTTGTTGCTCCCTGGTCCCCCCCAACCCTCCTTGCCTCAAGCCCACCCATCCCAGAGCACCAGTGATCCACTGCCTCACTTCCAGCACATCCTCCATCTCTGCTGACACCTGAGGTGGCTGTTGGGTTTCTGCTCCCAAACGTGATTGTGAAATCCAAATTAGAGCTTGCTTTGCCATCCTGTCCAGCTGCACCTCCCATTGTCCCTGAAGCAGTGCCACTTTGTTGACTGCATCTTCACAAAATGATGTTGAAACCAGACGTGGAAACAGAACAACCAGGGCACATGGGAATGCTCTGCTCAGACAGAAAGTATTGGAGGTAACACTTTGCATTTGACACAGATGGCTTCAGCATGGGAACTTTGGTTTGGCAAAAATATGGAAATAATAATAGCATTTTTGATCTTCAAAGGGCTCTTCATTCACTAACTAAGGAGTGTAATGTTCAGCTTTACAAATTGGTCATACTCTGAAAATACATTTGGTAGCAAAGACAAAGGGTCAAGCTTTCTGCTACTTTAATGCCTTTGAAATGTCGGTGCCAATTTCATGGTGTGAAAATTAAGGACCAAAGTCCATTGTAAGGGTATAACGTCCTGTTTAGTCAATGGGAATTTCATGCCTGTTAATGAGAGCAGAATCAGATCCTAATTAATTTCAGGCTCGATACATATATTCTTCCATTTTAATACACGATTACTGGCAACATCTGCCCTCACATGTGAACAGACTTGAGCTTTGAAATATATGAATTGGATATTGGTCCTAATATGAGACTTAATATTTCTCACGGTTTCTGTGGGATCCTTTGCCTAGAGAGAGAGAATGAGCCAGAAGAAACCAGCCAGTGCCAGCTGTACAATGCACAACAAGTGTGTGTTTATGTGCACACCCCCCAACACACACAGAGGCTCAGCTGTAGCTTTGCAGATGCCCTAAGATAGCCAGGAATTAACCTGGGATGTCATGTCCATAGTTTGTCCATGGAGTCAGGAGTCTAAAAACAAGCTGGACCAGCTCTGCTGCTGATGTGTAGATGATGTGGCCATGTCTCCACTCATCCCAGCTAGGATTATAAGAAGTGTCCCACCCCAAAAACAGCGGGAAAAGGGCAGGGGCTTTCTCCAGGAGCAAGACCTGAATCCCAGCCTTGCAACGTAAATATGAATCAAAGTGGTTTTAAAGTAAAAAAATTATTCAGGATTGAATAATTCATCTCTGCAAAGCACAAGGTCCCTGCTTGGAATCATCAGAGCAAGGTAAAGGCTGGGCTGTGGCAGGCAGATCCTAGAATGGCTGTATTTAAAAGCTGCAGACACTGATTCCCAGTTCTCTTGGGTATGAGACAGATCAGCATTGTGTTTGTGTTTTCAAGATTAAGTATCTCAAATCATAAATGTCAATAGAATTATGAAGCACATTGAAAGCTTCCAAGTTCTTTAAAATTAAATAACAACCCTGTAATGCAGCCAAGCTGAGTATTGCTCAGATCCATTCGACCCTTACAGGAGGCAAAGGAGGCTTTCAATTTCTTTGTTCAATCACTTCATTAAATTCCAATTCCTCTTAAAAGCTTGGCAGTCCTAATTCTCTCCCACTTATTTCTGATACAAGTCCCCTTTGCCTGCACTCAGATTTCTCATGTTTCTATGCTTATTCACCTTCCTATATGCCCAAGCCTCAAGGCAGTGCTCTAGTAAGGACAGTTAAAGGCATTTTTGCTAGAAATTTACTTGTCCTGTGTAGTCACTGCATTAGGCTGTGATGTGTCTGTGTGCAAGCAAGAGACAAAGCTGCTCCAGCTTTTTGTGGGATTTGTGATGGGAAGTGTGCTGCATGCTGTTAGCCAGCGATGCCTTTGGGGGAGATGAAAGTGTGTTGGCCAGCCCTGGTCCTCAGCAATGTACCCTCTTAATGTGGAAAGAACCCAAACTGAGAGTCAGAGCAGTCATGTCAATGGAGTTACATGATGGAGATAAAAGCTCTGACCTCAAGAACATCACTATTGCACAAGAGGCAAAGCAGGGCTGAGCCAAGAAATGGCCTGTAAAATCCCAGCTCTGCTACCTGGCAAATGTCCCTGACACCTTGGTCAGACACTTGTAATGTGGTTTTAGCCTGTGAGAAACACCACTGCAAGGATCTGTGGGCATTCCAGTACCTGGATGTAGCTCTAAGCCCATGGCAGGTACATTTTTTCCTGTGTGTTTCCCTCTGAGGACAGGATTGGTATCACCATACTCAGTGGTAACAGGGAAATACAACCAAGAGGCTGCAGCTCAGTCTGAGCTTGCACTTTCATGCTTGGGGTTCATTAGCTTTCCTCTTCCAGGTACTCAGGGACAGGCAACAGCAGAAGATGCTGTAGGATAGAGCCACAAGAAATAAACTGTAAGTCCCAAAAGATGCCATTTTTCTATTTCTAAAAGAAGTTCTATTCACCGCTGAAGTTGCCTTATACTTTGACTTGCACTTACAGCAGCCAGAAGAAGTAGTGGGCTTTATAGCCTCTGATGTTTTCTCATTTCTGCTGGGCCATCCCACCATCACAACTGTGCTGCCTGGGCTTAATTTCTTTTATAATCTCTTTGCTGAGATTTTCTGTCTTGGGGGATCTTGCTTAGGCTGGATGGATTACTCAAATATTCTTGGTCCAGCTCCAATTCTGACTTTAATTTATCTCTAGCTGTTAGGGTTTCTGACTGGAAAAACCTACCCTATAGATTAGTGAATTCTTAGTGAATGAGCCCCAGGAGCTGACATGCAGCAAATGAGTTGGGATCCCTGTGGGCAAGGCTCACCATTAATGCTGCTGCAGAAAGAGCTTGCCCACAGCATCTGCCTGAAGGGCTCTTGCCACCAGCAGGAATGGTCCTCTCAGGAACAAAGAGCCTCCTTCAGCCCATTCCCTGAAGCAAGAGAGAGGGTCTAATTTATACAGCCCTGTCCCCATGGGCTTCCACACCACCACACCCCATCTCCATGGGGGAGAAACGGTCAGTGCTGCACCTTGCTTTAGACACTGCTAATGAAGGAAAATCAGATGTGGAGAGGGGAAGTTTTCAAACCCTCAGTGTGCAAGGTGAGGGAAGATCTCATGCCTGCAGTACAAGAGAGTTTTCGGGCCTGGTGCTGGGTGCACACATCCTTTGCTATGCCAATCCTTGTTGATTCAGCTCTGGGTACAATTCCTGGGCAAAGACAAACATGAATGGTCTGTACAAATTGGCATGGGGGGATATATACTATTCTCCTACAGAAATCACAACAGAAATGTGATTTGTGGTTTTGTGATTTGTGCTGAGCTCACAGGTCTCTCAGTTAAGACAGGCATTACTAATGGCTTAGGACAGCAGTTTTGCAATGGCAGTGAACTCAGATACCTTGGAAAGGCTGGACATGAGGCTCACTTGGCAAGCTGCTCTCAGGACCAGTGCTTGACCCGTGGGCTTTGTTCAGCTTATGTTTCAACATGGTACCTGGCTTTTGGTAGCTCAGTGCAAGATGCAGACCAATCAAAGTTTGTCTGTGCAAATCCCAAATGTTTTTCAAAAACTAAATCTCCATGACTTGGACACATACTGAGATGAACCTGCAGTTCCTACCAAACCTTTCACCTCTCCTCATCTGCCCTCACATCTGTGATAATTTAATTGTTTGCCAGTGCCAGACAGAAGTTAAATAGGACATCAAGGGCTCAACATACTCCTGGTACTCTTAAAACTCTATTCCACCATGCCATAGGAAAACAGATTTTGTTTATTACGTGTGGCCAACAACATACATTCCAGCAGCCAAAATTTACCCAGCAGGGGCCAATAGTGTATGCAAATCTACCTGAGTCACCACAGGATTTCAGAGAGATGATGCTTTAGTTCTCTTAGCACGTCTAGAAAAAGACCTTGTGATTCCCCTACAGGGAGATTGTGCACAAGCCATACTAACTGCTGAAAAAAGTGGTCCCAGGACTGTTCCAACTGGCTGATCTAGTGACATGAAAGTGTTGTCATTTACACACTCTGGAGAGCTTCAGGATGCAGGGAAGATGGATGGTTATTCTTCTTGTGCCTGCCTAAACAATATATTTGATCCTGTCACTTGTCCTGTGTGAACTGCCTTCTTTAGAAGTCAGTATTAATGATGCAGATCAAGTCTAGATGCTGTCACTTATCCCACTTGCTCCAACAGCCTTTGTTAAAAGAAAAAACTAGTCTTTTTGACCTTAAAAAGTGGAGGTGATGTTACTTTTGTAAAACTGTTAGGGGAGGTTCTAAGGACTAGAAAAGTGCTTCTTTGGAAGCATGTATTAGCAAATGCTACTTGATCACAGGGACACTTGTATCCTTGGGAGGAGATGTAGAAAACAGACTTGTCATCAGCTTATATTCCTCACATATTGGCATCACTTGTTCTCACAGTGAACCTTGCTCTGTGGTCTTTAAAGACCCTCTAAAAAAGCACTGCTTGACTATGCAATGGGTGTATATGTAACAGGTAGTGCTCAAGGTCCCTTACCACCTTGCCCCTCTTCATCCCACAGTCTAGCCCTACATCCTTACTACCCACATGAATTGTCTCTTCATCAGACTTCCTCAGCAGGAGCTGACACAGAGATTTGAATTAAGCATCCTGCTCCTCAGGTGGGTAGGCTGCCCACCACATCTGTTTAGCCAGGTGTCAAGTATCTCTCTAGTGCCAGACCAAGCATCTGCTTAGTGCTGTGCCCTGCTTCCAGCAGTGGCCAGATGTGGGTGCCTGAGGAAGCCTTTGAGCATGTCAAGTATGCATTTCCTGAGAGTGCTCCTCGCCTTCAACTATCTTCAGGGATTTCCTCAATCAAACGTGCTTTCTATGTTTTAGTAACACCCAAGGTATTTCTCTTCCACGAACTTGCCTGCTCTCTTCTTAAATCCCTGTTTTAGCTGTTGACCTTGATGACTTATTTCAGCTGTTGATCCAAATTTTTTACTCCTCTCCTCTCCTCTCCTCTCCTCTCCTCTCCTCTCCTCTCCTCTCCTCTCCTCTCCTCTCCTCTCCTCTCCTCTCCTCTCCTCTCCTCTCCTCTCCTCTCCTCTCCTCTCCTCTCCTCTCCTCTCCTCTCCTCTCCTCTCCTCTCCTCTCCTCTCCTCTCCTCTCCTCTCCTCTCCTCTCCTCTCCTCTCCTCTCCTCTCCCCTCCCCTCCCCTCCCCTCCTCTCCTCCCCAGCTGTCATAACTTTTTCCCCACATCCTTGCCATCAGTTGTTATTGCTGTGTAACTTTACAATACCTGTGTAACTTTGAATTGTGCAGTGATTAAACATGCAGCAAATTTTTTTAAATCTTTTTAATAGTACTATGTTGTCTTTTTTTTTAAATTATTAAGTTGGAGAGTTTACAGGTTTGAGTTTGAAGTAATCAAACAATCTGTTTAAAGTGGATGAAAAAGGTCAATGTGATAATTTCCCTTAGGGTGGGGAAATGCTGGGACAGTGAATTGTGATTGAGAATTGTAACCTTCTCATCTCAGCAGCAACTGGAACAGTTTGCTCTCTGTCTGCTTGGCTTGCTAAATGTTCAAATACTCCATGAAGAGTGGGGTTGCCTAAATTTACAATCAACTTTGGCTACCCTGAAACAGCAGCTTTTATTTTTTATTTTTTATTTTTTATTTTTTATTTTTTATTTTTTTAGTTTCCAGCAAATAAATTATTCACCTCCCAAAAATACCATAAGCATCTATCACAACATAACCAGTGTCTCCTCAGTGTCTTGGAGTTTCCAGCAGACCCGGTAGTCTTACAGTGGAGGAGGTGGTGGATAAGTAATTTGTCCAGGCATGGTGTGCTTCCTGCCAGGGCATTGCTGATCGAGGCTGGGCTCCCTCCTTCTGCTTAGACCAGAGGGAATTAACTCTTCATGCAGGAACCTGGAGTCCACCACTCTCCACAGAACTAATAACAGCAAATGGGCACAGCATGCAAACAATTGGGAGGCTGAAATTTGTTTGCCAGGAGAGGTTAGCAATGAAGAAAGGTCTGTGTAAAAACGAGCCTTGCTTGCAAACAAACTGTCAATGTTGAAGGCTGAAATCTCTAAAATTATTTGTAACAAATAACTTTGTCAGTTCTATGAGCCTCTGTCTAACTCTTGCACAGAGGGGAGTCACTCCTTTCCAGAGTAAACAGAGCAGCTCAGTGCACTCAGGGGTTACCAGGCTGGAAGAATGCAGTGCATTTTCTGTGAGCATTTGCTTTGACTTAAAAGCATGCTTCTCTTATCTGTGTTGACACCTCTCCTGTGTTCATGAGCTGTGAAGACTCAAAACAGTCAAGATCTACTCCTCCAAGTATCTATCAAAAGCAAAATTAAACCTCATTATTTGCAAATGGAATATTAGGTTTTAACAGGGGATCCTGTTTTTAGGAAGCCCTACCAGGTCTCTGGAACAAAGGCTATGAAGTGAGCCAGACATGGGCGTGCCAGTCTTTTGTAAATAAAAACATGCATGTACATAAGTGTGTCTAACAAGTACTCAGACAGAATTAACTGTAAGATCCATATCTTGCCAACAAATCTGTGGAGCAGATTAAGTTTGGCTTTTTTTTTTTTTTTTTTTTTTTTAAGTAACAATGCCTCAGGCAAAAGTCTGTGTGGCTAGAGAGGAAAATCTGAAAATGGTCTATGCAAAACTTGTAGTCAGGCTTATCTGCCCCTTGTTCCTAAGCAGCAAAAACCACCAAAGGGCCTTTTGCAAAACCTTCTCCTGATTGTTAAATTTGTGCTCATCCAGGCAGGAAACTAACTCTGCCATGGCACTTGGGTGGCCTGCTGCTACCAGAGAGGATATTTGCAAAAGAAACTGTTGGCAGTCCTTCCCTAAAAGCAGGAAAAATACCTGTATCTTCATACAAATCTGGGAGGCTGCAATCTGCCAGAGGCTGATGCATGATGAGTGCCTAGTCTGGTCAGGTAACATGTTTCTGGGCAATGTTACCCTCTCTTTAAGCATGCAGAGCAGAGGGGGAAGCTCATTCCTTCATTGCCTGCTAACCCAGTAAATTGATTTGAGAGGACATATCTAATGGTTGGTCCATTTGGAAAGGTTTAGGAAGATGGCAGCAGTAACTGTTGCTCTGTACTTGTGTCCAGTGTAACTCTCCTGCCTCTTCCCAAACCTCCCAGAAGCCTCACCAGAGCAAAACCATTGATATTATTGCTTGGGTACTCTATCTCCATGACTCAGATGATGGGTGTGGTTCTGTTCTGCCTGGGAGATGTCTTATCTCTCTGCTCTGTAGTTTGCTGTCTGGCTTGCACAACCTTCGTGGATTCCCTGCTCCCAGCAGTGCTCTGCATGCTGGTGGTGGCTGAAAACTTGCATTGTGTGTGTCCATGTATGTATGTGAATCAACATCCTGACACATACAAACTGGAAAAGAGGGCTCCTGCAGTTATGGAGTCCATTGATCAGAAGTTAGGGAATGCTGTGAGTGGCTGTTCGCGTCTAGGCTCTGCTCCCATTTGCCTCCATCTTGGGCTAAAGACCAGGCAGGGCTTCTGTGGAAAAACACAGCATTTCATTGCATGTGTGTATGTGGAAGAAAAAGTGTTGTGGAAAAGTTGATGTTTGTCAAGTCCCAAGTGTTCATAACCTTCTTGACATTCCTGCAGGGGAAGTTTTTTTGTGTGCAGTTTCCCAAATGGCAAACAACATCCCTCAAGCCAGGCCCAAGAATAGCTGCCATGACAAAGTCCTTGTTCCTCAGCTTCTGTCCTTTGCTTTTGTCTTCCTTCCCCTTGCTTTCCTCTTCCCTGAGTCCCCAGTACCTGCAGTGCAGTATGTGGCAGTGGTGTTCAAGGACTGTGGGATCCCAGCATCCCTAAAAAAGGGCACTGGTTTGCTGTGGGTGTTTTGGCTCAGTGCTAGAAGGTTCCTGTGGCAAACTCAAGTGAGCAGGGGGAAGAGAAGTAAGGAAAAGAATGAGGGGGAGCAAAAGTTATTCATTTTTAGTGCTTTATCTAGAGACAAAATTGGGATAGCAGTGTGCAAGTCTAGAAAAAGGCATGGCGTTAGCCTGAGGGCTCTTACCTGCTGCATTTGAGATCTGCTGCAAATAATAGTCATCTCCAAGCATTTCAGGAAACTTTCAGCATTTGTTTATCATGCAAAATGTTAGGCAGGCAAAACATAGCACTAACAGCCTGAATGATCATGCCTCAAACTGCTTTTTATGCCTGTTTCTGAACCAGTGTTTATGTGCTCCAAGCAAGTGCTGTCCTCCCCCACTTTACTTTTGCTGGCTTATCAGCATTTGAGGATCCTACCTGCTACTTGCACGCCAAAGATTTCTAATTTGGTGGTCCCAATGATGTGTGTCCATATTTCCTGTTCCATGGAATGGCAGGGTAAGATTGCTATCAGGGCAGGAAGTTTTTTTGGAAGTCAGTGCTGGCTTGGCATGACTTAGCACCAGGGTAGTAATGGAAACCTGGTGACTAAAAAGGGCCTCAGGTCACTGCCTGTCTCCAGCTGGGGTAAGGTGAGTAGGAAAGGTCAGCACTGGTGATGGTCTGTGAACCACCCCAAGGAGATGGGAGGATGCATAAAATAGGGTGGTGGGCCTGATGCAGGAGGGTTGGGAAGCTGTTCTGGAGGAGCTTGGGAGCAGAACAAATTCCTTTTTGTTCAGTGGCAGATGGTATCAGGAAAAGGCTTTTGCAGAACCTAAAATGGAGCCTGAGGACACAGAGAGATCAAGTAAACAAAGCACATGGGTGGCTGTTGTCCCAAGCCAGACCAGCATCTGGACCTCCTCCTTTCCTCACCCTCTCTCATCTCACAGCTTCCACTGCTTGTTCGTAAATTCTGTCTTTTTCCACCAGGTGGTCCACGGCAGGCTCCATTAGCACCCAAATGCATCCTTTTGATTGTAGTTCCTGTTTAAAGGCTGTATCCAGGAAAGCCTGTGAATATGCCTTATCACTAGGATGCAGGTAGCACATATCTGTGCAGAAAGGGGATATGGGTGAGAAGAAACTTCACCGTGAGACATCAGAAGATCAAGGCTGTCAGAAAAAATAGTAGCATGGAAATTACTGTATTAGGGAAGTCTGGTGTCCTCTCCAGTCCAGTGTTTTACCTGATGTGAAATGCTCATGGAAACAAGTGAAAAGCCCTTGCAAAAGGTAAATGGGGATGCTTCTACATGTCCCTTATTTACATCAGTGTAATTAAGGGACATGGGGCTTGTATTGCACCTGAAACTCTCTTGGTCTTTGGTTATGCATATGAAGATTTTGTGATATGAGCCATGGGAGATATTTCCCACCCTACTGTTTCTTCAGAAAAAAAGCCCCAAGCACATTCAGCATTTCCCAGTATTTCATAGAATCATAGACTTGCAGAATCATTTAGGTAGGAAAGACCTCCAAGATCATTGAATCCATCAGTTTCTGAGGGGTTTTGTATAGATGGAAATGAATGCTGCACAGGAAGGAAGATTGCCACTCTGTCCTAATGCCCTGTGTCATCCTTTTCATGATCCCAAGGAGGAGTTGGTCCTCAAAACTAAGCACTCTGCAAGGTGACAAGCACTGGATCCCTTCACCTGAATACTTTCCATCTACACTGCTGACTCTTAGCTAATCCGTGGATTGGGCTCAAAGTTTCCAACTTCCAAAAGCTGGCTTTGGGATTACTACAGGCAAATGAGTCTGTAGCACAATCACACCAGTTCCTCCAGATCCTAGGTGCAAGAATGTGGCTCTGGGCAAGGGCACTGAGTGCCTAAGCATGGCTCAGAGCTTGACCTGTGCGCATGTGGGACTGCAGGCATCAAATGGAAATAGTGAGCCTACAGCTGAAAAGATGTGTAGGGTGAGTCCAGGTGTATGCTGTGCACAGATGAATGCAACACACAGGATCTAGGGGATAGCAACAAACCTTTATTTCCCCACTGATTCTGTCTGCCAAGACCCCCTAGAAGTAGACCTTAACTCTTGTCTTACTGCCCCATAGCCTGTGAACCACAGTAAACCCCTCCTTGCTCTTCTCAGGACATGGTCCATGTCCTTTTCAAGCCATGTGAGACTCCAGCTTATTTCTAGACATATGATCTCATCCATTAAATCCATTTTTCCCCATCCTTTCACTGACAGGCAGTCCCCACTTTTACATGTTGAATTCTAGCTGCCTGGAAAACAATCAGCAAATAAGCCTTGGAGGAAACATTAAGGAAAAAAAACCCCAACCTGTGTCTAACAATTGGGCTTGCTGCCTCCAGACAGGTGCAGGCTGCATGTGAACAGCAACAATTCACTCAGCAGTGCTTTTGAAAGCAAGGAGTTGATGGCACTGGGAAGGCTGAGTGATGTGATGGGTCTGGGGCCAGGGAAGCATTGTGTGTGTATGCCAAGTAGATGGCTGAATTTTAGATGCTGCTGCTAATTTTAGTTCAGTGTGATTTGCTTCACTGAGTTCTCCTGGTGCTTTGAATGCTGTCATTCAGGCTAATCATAATTCTTTACAAGGCTTAGAAGTCCTTAAAATACCCAAAAATCTGATCTGAGCTTTTCTTTTTCCTTAAGATGCTGTTTTCCTGTGTGTTTTGACTTTATCAGGAATGCATGTTAGACCAATATCAGTAATCATGAACCTGCTGTTCCATATTCACTCCTCCTTGTGATATTCCTTAACCTATTTTACATGTAAAACATTTCATAGTATGCAGCCAAGTGTTTAAGCATTCAATTCCCTTCCTTCACCGGCCCCTCCTGTTCCTGCAGTTGGTTGCAGATCACTGCCTGGAAGTGAGCAGAGAGAGCAGGCAGCAAGGTGAGTTTTGTTCCTGTGAGAATAACCTCTTTCAAGTAATTTTTTTTCCAAGGTGACCAGTGTGCACTGATACCGTATTTCAGCAAGAAAGCATGGCAATTTCTGACAGTGCAGTCATCTGACCCTACCCTCAAACAAAGCTGGGCTTGGTCCCCAGGCAGGATTTCTGCAGAGAGAGAGGGACAGGCACAAATCCTCTTTAAATCTTGTAACTTTCCCCTGTGTTAGTCTGCTGGGCTCAGCTTCCCATGTGTTTGCAGCAGGGAGATGGTCTGCATGAAAATTGCTCAGGTGTAAAAATGAGAAGGTGGTTAAAATGTGATACAAAAATAGACCCAGGCTAATAGAGTTTCATTTAATCACCCGGTTGCCATTCAAGATCAAGTTTGTGTAGCTTATGATGAAATGTGGTTTCCAACAGACAAGTTTTCAGTGCTCTGCATAATGAAAATTGGCACTTTGCAGCAATTTCTGAACAGGTGCAACTGCAGCTGCCGTGGGAAGGCTGAGACCATCTGTTCCTCCCAGAAGATGCTGGCCCCTTCCCATGGCACTCCTCATCCCCAGCCCCACTCTGTACATCTGGAAGCATCCATGTGCCCATGGGGCAGGCAGTGAGGACGTTCCTCACACTGCAGTGGTCAGAAGCTGTCTTGGTTTGGAAAGACAGGTGTCTGCTAAGGAAGGCAGGAGCCTCCCCTGAAAATGGAAAATGTAAACTGCACCCCACCCCCCAAATTGTTATAAATTGTAAATTAAGGGGCTCTCAGGCAAAAAATATGGGAGCAGGAAATAACAGTTCTTTAATAGGGAAGAAAATAAAAAGATAAAATAAACAATACAGTAAATCAAAACAGCACTGACAGAGTGAGAACATGACCTGACACCCTGTTGGTCAGGGTGTTGGTAACAGTCCAGTTGGAATTGTGGCTGCAGTGCTCCTGGAGTGTCAGGTGTGGTTCTGTTGGAGCAGGGATCCTGTAGAAGGGTGCAGTTTTCCTCTGACGATCCAGTGGAAGAGGCAGCTGTTCCTCTGGGAAATCCAGTGGAGAATCGGTGCTGGTGTTCCAGAAGCTCAAGATTATATCCAGGTAGGAATGCTTGGCTCCTCCCTCTGGGCAGAGCATGTCACAATGGGATGCTATAGTTCTTATCAGTCATGCAGTGACATTCAATAGCCTGTTATCAGCAGATGTCTCCCCAGAGGGAGGAGTGGTTGTGGAAGAGATGAGGAAAACTGCCTTCTTAACAGAAGACAACTGCCATACAGATGGCAAATAGAATACAATTTGCTTGGCAATCCAGGACAGAGGCAGAAATGGTGCTGGCAACCTGGGGCTGAGGTTGCATGATTCCCATGTATTCCTGAGACCTCTTACTTAAAAATTATGTGTTTTAAGTAGGAGTCAATGTACAGCAGTGGCAGGAAATCTGTGCTGGCAGTCTTCTCTGCCTGCCCTGTGTCCATCCAAAGCTGACTGCTTTGCTTTGTGTTTCTGGATTCAGACTATCAGGCTCCACAAGCTCTCCTTGATTCAGATTTACATCAGAGCCATACCTAGAGAAGGCCATATCATATTAATTTTTTGTTTTCTTCTAGCAATACCTGCTCAGCATAGTGTAACCAGGGTGGAAGGAGTGCTGGACTCCTCAGGACAGGAAAGACTTGGACTTGTTGGAATGAATCCAGAAGACAGCCACGGGAATGACTGGAGCACATCTCCTATGAGGATGGGCTGACAGAGTGGGGATTGCTCAGTCTGGACAAGAGAAGGATCTGGTGAGACCTTATAGCAGCCCTCCAGTACCTGAGGGGGTGCTTTCTGATAAGAAAGATGGGGATAAACCTTTTCACTTGGGCCAGCAGCAATAGAACAAGGGGTAATGGTTTTAATCTAAAGGAAGGTAGATTCAGACCAGATATAAAGAAGAGTTTATTACAATAAGGGCGGTAAAACAATGGAAAGATTGCCCAGAGAAATGGTGAATGCCTTACCCCTGGAAACATCCAAGGTCAGGTTGAACAGGATTTGATTCTCCTCATAGATGTATTCCTAGCTTGTACTAACATCCAAGTTTTAAGTAAAATTGCCTGGAGATCTGGTGCACAAAGCTGGTACAATTTTCATGCAAATATGAGCCCTAGCCATCAAACTTTAACAACTACAAATTTCAAGACTGGCTCATTCATCCAAAAAATATAGGCCTTGTGGTAGAGTTCTCCCTTTACTTATGAGTCTCCTCATGATGCAAATTTGTCTTTCGAGCTGGACAGAATCACTGCTTGTGTCAGCTGGGCTCCTGCCCATGTGGGGGTAGAGGGAGAGC